GGCTTTTCAAAAAGAATAATTTTATGTCCTTAGAATACCGTGTTTCAGTGGACCTTCAAAGATCACTTCTGTTCTCAATATCGATTGATAATTGAGATTGAGAGATAATCCAGAGTGAATCAGATGGCTTTGAGGTGGAAGAGAGAAGTCAGGTATTTCTTGGACATACTTTGTCCTGCTAGAAAGTAAACAAAGTTATTACCATTTGTTTACACTAGGGCATTTTAAACAACTGTACGAAGCTTTTTGTTTTACTTATTGCTGTGTCACAGTTGTTCTGTCTTTGGAGGCTTTGCTTTTAAGGTTGAACATAGTAAAAACATCTGTTGAGTGAGTCATTCTTGCTAACATAATCATCTGTGTGCATAGTGTTGTAGAAAGAGAAGCATTTTCAAAGTAATTTTATGACATAATTTGAGGATTCTTTTTTTTTTTTCTTGTAGCTAGGGGTTTGCTTAGCACGAGGACCGCATCACATAAGGTCTACTAACAGTCCATTTGATTTGCTTTGTAACTAATGTTCAAGTAACAGCAAATGCTTGGTCAGCACAGTTTCTATTTGATCTCTGCCAAGGAATTCTTATTGATTTGCCTTAGCTTCTTCAACAGCAGTTATTTGTCTCTTTCCCCTTGGTAAAACCACCTGTTCTGATTATTATCTTGTTTGGGTTTGTTTGGCTTGTTCTTCATTTCCAAACTTAAATATGTTGTCCCAAATGCTCTTTGGATTCATGTTTTTACGACGTTCTTTTCAAGTCTTTTGATGTCCTGTATTCCACTTGAAAACTGCTTTCAGTGAATTCGTGATTCTTCTATTTTCTCATTACTTGCTCCATCAGCGTGCTATTGGGTGGCTGATTGGCCTTCAATGTTAAATTGTCCAGAGGTGGATGGTGCTAAATTCCATTAACTCTAAGCCTGTCTTCATATGGCTAATAAACACATCTTTAAGGAAGTGATCTTAAAATGATATTTCAACAATAAACTTTCTCTCCAGTCACTTGTGGCTTAGAAATTTTGAGCCTTTTCCTCTCTTTTAGTCTTAGAGGGACAAAGGAGTGTCTTTATGGGGCAGCAAGTGGACAAGAGAGGAGGGAGGAGAATCCGATACCTTTTGGCATCACTTGAGTCATCCACAGTATTTTCTGGCAGTGAACTTGGTCATTAACTTTGTGTTCTTTGTATGGGGAGGTACTTGTGTTTAGTTTTAAACTTAATACCACAAATAAGACCTTCTTTGCAACACTACTTTATGCGGAGATTGATTGTGTCTTACAATCCTGGTATTGTAGGCATTTGAATTTCTGCTCTATGATAATGCATAAGAAGTGTGACTGAAGCTTTTTAAAAAAGATGTGAGGGGATGGTTAAAATTTTTGAAAGTGGTGTGATGTCCCCCAAAAAATGCTTATTACTTTAATTTCCCTTCTGTAGTTCATGGGAGTTCAGATTGTTGCAATGCCTTTGTTTTCCTTCTCTTGTATGGTCTCCTCTCTTCCTTCTCCTTCTCCTTGTCATGTTGGGTTTTTTCAGTTGTTGTCTTCCCTTTCCTGGTTTGTTCTTTTCCATCTCTCCCTGTTTGTTACCCTGGAATACTGCCTACCACAGAATTTTACTAGTGATTTAATACTTCGCTTTGTGTTGTACATTTGCTGCAGACAAATTAACAGGCTTTGTGGGGTACGTAAAAGCATTCTACTTATGTAGCAGGCAGGAATTTGGAGCAACACTCCTCTTCATTTTGTACGCTGAACTATTGTTTGCTGGTGAAATCAGTTCCACATATGCCTCTATTAGACAATCCTACTGGATACTGTTTAAGAGTGTGAGCAGATTAAGTGCATTTTTAGCAGAGCTCTCCCCAACACTTTCAGAACAATAATTCAAGCTATCCATGTTCTTGTCCATGCTAACACATCCTGTCTATTTTTCTGAATCCAGATGTGACAGGAAGCAGTGAATTAATGAAACTTTTTTAAAATGCTGTTGAAATTATTTTTCATTACTTGATGTAGTTTTGAAAATATTAATTTACATTGCTGTGTTGGTGCAGACAACTGTTCTAGTGCAATAAATGGAAAATAAAACTGATTCTGTATTTCTGAATTAACATATTTGATGGCAGAGTGGAAGGGAAAAAATCCAAATGGGAAGGGAGGGAGAGACAGAGAAGTGACCTGTGTCTTATAAGGAATGTTTACACCTTGACTTGGAATATAGAAAATAGAAGTGCAGATAGCTATTTTATTTGAATAATGGACTTGCCAATTAGCCATCAAGTGCTTCCATCTGTGAAATAGTTGATCAGATGGGTTAGCTGGGATGTTTCCAGATTAGGGCATTATAAATGGCACTTGAAAACTGTCACTTTGATTATGAGGTTTCAAGCATTGCACTGCTTGATGCTGTGGAACCTTTTTCACTCATATTATCATGGTTTTTTAGAACATGCTGATCCCATTTAGTAAATCTATGGCACCGTGGGAACTTGGGAGACCTGCCATTGATCTAAAGTTCTGTTTCATCTGCTGATCTAGCCAGGATGGTTATTAGAAAAGAGCACTACTGGTGCAGTATTCTGCAGGGCTTCAGAATAAGAGTTGGTGATCTGGCACGCAAGGCGGGGGTCAGGCTCAGTGTAGATCATTCCCAATTAACAATTAAATGCAAGTTTCCTTGAGTTACTTCATTAAGCTGACGTGTCTCTTGAAGTAAATGACGTATTCTAGCTGGCCAATATGCATCCTAAGATTCCCTATGTAACAACCACCCACCCCCCCCAAACCAAAACAAAAAACCCAACAACAACAAAACCTCAAAACCGAAACAAACCCAAACACACATTCCTATCCATCCCCCCAATAAAAACCCTAAACATCAAAAACCCAACTGTGAAAGACTCCAGCACCATAACATCTTAGTGAAGATTGGTTTTGTTAATTGATTCTTGAAACAGATTTGGTTTTAGTTTTCCAGGGTGCAAATATGTTGTCTTTAATGTAATAAAATGCTTTTTCCTTTGGAAACCTGTAGAGTTTTGGTATCTGTTGCACCCGTGTGACTTTTTCATTCCCGTGTCTCCTGGGTGTAATTGCTTTACATGATATGAATTGTGGTGATACGCTATTGTCTGCTTCTCACACGTATTTGAAGTTTCAGGTACTCCTTTTGAGAATACTCTGCCAGTAGAATAAATCTGAATTATAACGTTTAAAATTGTGCATCATTTCTGTGCCATTGCTTCTGAGACAGTTTCCAGCAAAGTTCTCAAGTACTAGGAATGTTAGTATTTCTAGAATTCCAATATACCTCCCAGTAGATG